CCCCCCCCCCACTCCTGCGAGGAGCCTCCCCCTCACCACCGGCCGCCCCTTGCAGCCCAGATGACCTGCGGAGTGGATGAGTTCCGCTGCAAGGACTCGGGCCGCTGTATCCCGGCGCGCTGGAAGTGTGACGGAGAGGACGACTGTGGGGACGGCTCCGACGAGCCCAAGGAAGAGTGTGGTGAGCCTCCCCGTCCCCGCTCTCAGGTGAAGGCGTCCAGCTGGCCTCCCGTGCCCACCACCTCCCGTCTGATTCCTCGTCCCCGCCCCCACCGGCCCCTCAGCAGCACACACCTGTGTGGAATCTTCTCTGCCCACCCCACACAGGGGGCTCTGTCGTCCCCGCCCCAGGGCAGCTCCTCTCGCTCGTGCCCTTCCCGCCTCATAACCTCCTTGCGGACCCCGCATCTCAACCAGAGCGCTGCGTGGCCTCCCCCTTGCCTCCCTCGATCCCACTCCTGGCCATCCTGCCGTGCCTGTCCGAAACCCTCATACCTGCCCCCGCTCCGTCCCTGACGGCCCCGACGTTTGCCCCCCAATCTTGCCTCCCCTAGACGAGCGTACCTGCGAGCCCTACCAGTTCCGCTGCAAGAACAACCGTTGCGTGCCAGGTCGCTGGCAGTGCGATTATGACAACGACTGTGGGGACAACTCGGATGAGGAGAGCTGCAGTATGTGCCCTCCCACCCCCGCCCCGGCCCGCAGGCTTCCCGCACCCAGACACCTGGGGCACCTCCCCTCTCAGCACCCCTGCCCCCGCCAGGCCGCAGCGGGGCAGGCGGCCACCTCCTAGGGCTGGGGGTCAGGTGCCCACTCCCTGCTCACCCCACCCCACCCCGCTCCATGTCGTGTATTTGAGTCTGTGCCATTTCACCTCATCTCATGTTTCTCTCCATTTTCACACTGTCCTCTCGGGGTTGCAGAGGTAGGTATCTCCGATGTGCCCGTGCTCCCACCACACCCCCCGCCACTGCCCCAGAGCCCACCCGTCCCTGTGCTGTGCCTCAGCCCATCAGCCTGTACTGGCCTCTCCCTAAACCCTGGTGCTTGTCTCAGTGGTCTTGTCCCTCTCCTGTACCCCTCGATCCCCCCGCACACAGTCTGTCCTGAGGGCAGAGCCAGGGACCCATGCCCTCTCTCGTGTGGCTGGCCCAGAGGGGTAAGTGTGAGCCCCTGCTGGACCCAGCTAATCCCGTGAGGGCAGCCAGTTGGCTCGCTCGCCATTGGCTGAGCATCTTGGTCGTTTATGCCAGTCACCTGTGGCTCTCAGAGACACAGGGATGGGTGGTATCGCTCTGCCAAGGGCTGGGGAAACCCCGAGGGCTGAGTCCCTGTGCCCACCCTCCTGGGGCCTGTCTCTCCCCTGTCCTTCTCCAGCCCCTCGGCCCTGCTCCGAGAGTGAGTTCTCCTGTGCCAACGGCCGCTGCATCGCTGGGCGCTGGAAATGCGATGGGGACCATGACTGCGCAGATGGCTCCGACGAGGTGGGGAGGGGGACCAGCGGAGGGAGGGGTGGCCTCCGGAGGATCGGGGCGGGACTGCAGGGCTGCCCCGATCTGACCGGGATGCCCGCTCCTGTGCCCACAGAAAGACTGCACTCCCCGTTGTGACATGGACCAGTTCCAGTGCAAGAGCGGCCACTGCATCCCCCTGCGCTGGCGCTGTGATGCGGATGCCGACTGCATGGACGGCAGCGACGAGGAGGCCTGCGGCACTGGCGGTGAGCCCCTCCCGCCGCCC